TTGATCTCTACCTTCTTAAAGGTATCTAAAAGTTCTTGATCTAAGGCTTTATTCCTAGACTTTTGGCTAAGGAACTTACTCGGGAAGGGAGCTTTAGGTCTGACCATGTCTTCTACCCTTTCCCCTTGGTCTGAGATATCATTCCCAGGTGTTTCTCCCACTGTTTCAGCCCCATGAGAACTGCTGTCAGTAGCCTCATCTAACTCAAGGTTCACAACTTTAGGAACTTCTTTCTCACTCTCAACCCTATCCCTACCCTTAGGTTCAGGCAATTGTTTCTTATTCCTTAAAACCACAGCACTTATGTTTTGTTTTGGATTTGGAAAAGGTTGAGAAGGGATTCTTTGATTCATTTGAGCCTGCAAGTTGCTTATAATCACATTAGTAGCTGTTTGTTTTTCTTGAACTTGTTTAAGAGTTGAATCGAAACTTGAAAACTTGTCATCCATTTTCTTAAGAATTTGTTCAAACATCTGGGCACTTCTATCTTGGCTAGGTTGATGATTTAAATTCAGATTTCCCCTATTTGCTTGATTAAAATTTTGATTATTGTTTTGAGGAGGACCATATCTGAGATTTGGATGATCCTTCCAGCCCTCATTATAAAAATTTGAGTATGGATCATATTTTCTTTGTTGGTTGTTGTAAAAAACAGCGTTGACTTCAGGATTTTGAAGGGTTGGACAAGCATCAGTTGCATGCCGTTCTAGACAACATACTCCACAATGGATCCCCTAACATTCCCACCCCCAGAAACAAGTTTTGACATCATACAGGTGAGTTCAGAAAGCTTTTGTTCAATTGATTTACTTTCAAGTTCATTGCCTTTTTTAACCAGTGTCTCTCTTGTTCCAAATTGTTGGGTGTTTTGAGCAATCAAGTTAAAAAGCTCCCTAGCTTGAGTAGGGGTTTTGTTAACAAGGGCTCCTCCACTTGCAGCATCTACATTTTTCCTATCAGTGGGAAGGAGTCCTTCATAAAAATATTGAATCAACAATTGTTCAGAAAGCCTTATGTAAAGCATTCCTAATAGACCCTATCCTAGAGGCTGGGAAGTATTTCTCTAAGAAAGCCTTATGTAAAGCATTCCATGTTGTAAAAGAACCAGCAGGCATATAATACAACCAATCTTTAGCTTTATCACATAAGGAAAAAGGAAAAGCTCTCAACTTAATTTGGTCCTGAGCAACCCCTTCAGGCACCATAGCACCGCAGGTAATCAGAAATTCAGAGATGTGCCTGAAGGGATCCTCTCCAGGAAGACCATGAAACTTAGGCAAAAGATTTATAAACCCAGAATTCAGCTTTAAATGTTTTTCCAATTCAGTGTAAGTAATAGCCAAAGGTTGAACATTTAAATCAGGGGCAGCAAGTTCTTTCAAAGTAGCCATTTTTTGTTCAGTTTTGACTTCAAAAAGGTTTCCAAATGTTGTCTCAAAATCAGATTCAGAATCAGACTACTATCGAAGGTGAAAGGGGGCACCTAGAGAAGACAATAATTACTGAGTTATTAAAGCAAGAAAACATGTCAAGAAGAAATAGGAAGAACATCTCACTGTGGGAGAGGGCCAACATAACAAGCCATTCTCAGCCCTAAATTATTATTTCAAGAATGATCAACTCACAGACAATGCCCTTCCAGCTAGTAGGAAAAGAAATGAGAAGTAACCAACGGATGCACCAACAAAAGCCTTGTCTGGAACAAACCAAAAATCCAATCAAGCATTACGAAGCATGCAAATTGATATTGGTCATTATCCGAGGAGTCCTATGGTGATCTGTGAATCATATCATCACGAGTGACATATAAGAAAGTGATCTTACCTAGAAACCATCCAACAAGAAAGGCCGCCAAAGCCACAAGAAACGCGAGAAAACAAACAACTAGCATCTGAACCCTTGTCGGATAGAAATTATTTGAGACCCAATAATGAATTGCGCCGATAGGAAGGGTTGATTTTAAAAGAAAATAGGAAGTCCTAGTGGCTGGGAATTTAAGAGAAGCTGAAAAGCCTAAATACAAAGTCATACGGGAATAGACGGGTCGGCTAGAGGAATGTCCTCTAGAATTCGCCCTTGCAAGCTTCACTACATCTCCAACCAAACGTCTAGAGGAATGTCCTCTAGAATTATCTCCTCCACGAGTCCTACCTGGACACCTTCCCTGTTAAGGTTCAACCTATGGCCGTTTACTTTGAAAATTTTGTTAGTAGCAAGGCTTCTTATATCAACAGCACCATGGTTATAAGCTTTAAGCACTTCATAAGGACCTATCCACCTAGATCTTAGTTTTGAAGGAAACAAATGAAATTTGGATTGGTAAAGTAAAACCTTATCTCCTGCCTCGAAAGATTTTCTGGTCAGTTTTGCATCATGGAATGCCTTGGCTTTTCCCTTATAAATTACTGAGTTATCATATGCCTCAAGCAGGATTTCTTCTAGTTCAGAGAGTTGTAATTTTCTTTCTCTACCAGCCTTATCATATTCTAAATTAACTGTCCTGACAGCCAAGTAACTCTTATGTTCAATCTCAACAAGTAAGTGACACGCTTTCCCAAAAACTAACCTATAAGGAGACATGCCTATTGGTGTTTTAAATGCAGTCCTATAGGCCCATAAGGCCTCATCTAGCCTTAAACTCCAATCTTTTCTATCGGGTCTGACTATTTCCTCCAAAATCCTCTTTAATTCTCGATTTGAAACTTCAGCCTGGCCATTTGTTTGTGGATGGTAAGCTGTGGAAATTTTCTGAGTTATGTGATATTTTGAAA